TAGTTCTGTGACTCTTGCACAATAATTTTCCTGTGCCCCTTGTTCCAAGATCCAACCGGAATTTAGGAATTTATTTTGTGGAGAAGAAAAAACGAAGAACTGCAGAAAACCCCTTGCAACAAAGAAGAAAACCAACTAAACTTTTCCATAGTTCTGTGACTCTTGCACAATAATTTTCCTGTGCCCCTCGTTMYRAGATCCAACCAGAATTTAGGAATTTATTTTGYGGAGAAGAAAAAACGAAGAACTGCWGAAAAAMCYTTGCAACAAAGAAGARWACCAACTAAACATTSTACTCATATACATCTGATAAGCGATTAAAAGATATTGATAAGATTGATAAAGYTAGTGTTTCATATATCTCTAGGCTTGTAACTGTAACCTGACAGGCTGTGAAGACACTCAGTGCAATCTTACAACTGGTATTTGCACGTAAGTAGTTATTTTGCTTTTCTGTATTAACTGGAACCATTTAGAAAGACACTCACTCTAAATGCAAGGGTAAGTGGGTCATCTTTTACATTTATTTTTAGCCACTGTGTCTGCAGTGCATAGAAAGAAGGGATGACGGAGGAGAAGGAAAATGAGACTTGACAGGAGCAGCCTGCATCCAAGGGGGGTGGGGAAGAAGGGTAGCAGGGAAGCTCCCTCCCTTCCCCCCCCCCCCCCCCCACAGGATAATTTGCTTCCCTCACTTAAAATAGCTACAACTGATCATGGAGTTTCCTAATGTCGAATATATTTCACAGGTTTTGATATGGTAATGTTTTTTGTAGGTGTAAACCAGGAGTCCATCTTGCTAAATGCACAGAATGTAAGGATGAATACAAGAGCTTCTCAGATGATGGATGTTCAAGGTGTGATTGTGACGYTGAAGGCAGTCTTAGCYCAGTCTGTGACAAGGGTTCAGGCCAATGTTCGTGCAAGGTATGTATGTCTTATCTAGCTACATGGTGGTGGCTTATGAGATATGGTGGTCGTTTATTAGGAGATTTATTCTTATTAGAAAGTGGTCGTTGACATAGCAAGAATATGAATRGGGTCAAGAGCACGAACATTCACGTTAGAAGTACTGAAGTTTCGTCAGCTGTAGTTTGTCTGTTTGCTTAAAAATATTCCATCTTTTTGCAGAACAACACCATGGGACTACAATGCAATCAGTGTAAAGCAGAGACGTTTTATTTGAACGAACCAAACCCTAAAGGCTGTACGGACTGTATATGTATGGGGATCACCAAGAACTGCAGCAGTACTACCAAGAACATACACCAGGTAACCTACATTCWCTCTTCATTCAGTCACTCATCCACTCACTCCTCCCTTCCTTACATCTTCCCTTGCTTGCTTGTTTGCTTCCTTAATTCCATGCTTGCTTACATCTTTCATCCATCCCTCATTCCTAAAATGTTTAATATATTCATTTCCCTTTCTTTCCTGGCTTTCCTTTCCTTCTTTTCTTCCTCCCTTCCTTCCTTTCTTGCTTGTCACCATCCTTCCATCCATCCATCCTTTCTTCCTTCCTTCTTTCTTTCCTGCACTTCTTCATTCGTTTATTTATTTTCTCCGCATCAGCCTCCCTCTCCAACCCATTCCCCTCCCCCGCCTTTCTCTCAGTGCTTCACAAAAGACCAAGAGGACTGTGTTGACGAGACAACTAAGTCAATCCTGCATCTTTCATTTTCCTTTAGCGTCCATTGGAGTCGAAACTGTGGTATTTATTTGATGAAGAAAATAACAAGACAATTGAGGCTGACCAGTCCTTAAAGGTAGGTAAAAGTTAATACACTGATAGTGCAAATAAAATAGGAAGAGATAACTAGCTAAAAACTAGTGTGAGCTGCGTCGGTGTTTCTAATGAAACAGTAATGATAAAAGGGTAAATTATATACCGTGAAAAGATGAAAAAACTTACTGACGTTTAGGACGCTAGTCTTTCGTCGGAGTAAAAAAGGGAAATAAAATGTTGTTGAATTCGATGAATATCGGAACACGTGGAACATGATAGTTTTTTCTTTTCATGCACAGTTTGCCAAAATAAAGGCAAATGCAAAGCAAAACTGAGAGGTCGGACAATCGTAAAACGCTGTTTTAAAGTTGAAAATTCATCTATCTATCCTAATTTTGTTTGAACAGGTTGCAGAAGAAGGTAACGTTTCAGTTATTACAGCCAATGTCTCGTCTGGTGCTAAAAGACTGGTATGGAAAGCCAGTGACAATTTTACTCAGAACTCTTTGGTATGTACGATCGTTGCGTTACAATTGATAGCCTCTCCCTTCCCTCAAACTACATAGCCTAAGGGCGGCAATCAAACTTCCAATAATGAGAATCGGGAGGGGGGGACATAGGCGTTCTGCAATTCCCCAGCTAAATGCACTTTTGCCGRACCAAGTAATTGCCTGTCTCTGCTATGCCCTATTTTTTTTTTTCAGTATACTTTATTTCTACTCTGGTGTAATTTTTTTTAGGTGTCCTCGTATAATGGAAATATGTCCTTTGTCCTCCATGTTACCAATCTTTCGGGTGCAGAAGTGGTTACAAACCCCAAGATCGTGATCGAGGTAGAGTCTGTCTGTGTATCTATTA